AGGGAAAGAACGACGTTGCTGATGTGGTCTCTGGGGTTCTATCAGTGCAGAATGAGGCAGGGTTAGACAGTATGTTAGCACAGCCACCTTGATGTGATCGGCCAAGGAAAGCACAGCACACTGGAGGCTGTGGGTCTCATGTTCAAAACCACAAAGTGACAAGAAACACTGACCTTCCACCCACTTCTGTAGGGATCCTTTGGGAATCATTGTGTTTGACTTTGTGAGGGGGACCTCTGTAACAACAGGAACCTTCAGCAGGGCTCCCCAGGAAGTAGATCTGGCTCTCTCTCCACGTTCATTAACGTGTGTGGGGGGGCACGTTCACTTACCCCCAACACACACACACACACACAGAGGTGTGCACGTAGCTCCCACCTTTCAAGTCACAGAGCCGGATCCAAATCCCAGGAAAGCTATATAAACAAAACATTGGAGAAATACAATAAATGCTGGTTTTCTGCTCAACTGCAAGACAATAGTTCAGCCACTGCTCTTTGCCAAGAAGATCCTAAAATAAGCAACAGAATTCAAAATTGTAAAAAAGAGTGGTCCGGGAATCTGTAAATTACATGAAAGCAGGAGCTGTGCTTGGCCCCAAGGTCACCAGTTCTCAATCAGCAAGGATTCCCAGGCTTTTCACAGCAGATTTCTGAGGGAAGGGAGAACATGGGCTCTGGTTTTGATACAAAGTGAGATATGGGGTCAACTTCACTTGGAAGGTGGGCAATACTTCCTCCACGTCCCTGAAATCTCTCAGCGTATAAAGTCCATTCCATGGGCCAAAACCTTCTTGCATTAAGGGATGTTCTATGAAGTCAGTTTCTTGCAAAGGGATCTGTTCTAATCCTTCAGAGGTTGTGAGGTTGGAGCATTCACCAATGAGCAATGAGTATAAACTACAGAAATATTCTAAGCCCAGTATAATATTCTAAGTCCAGTGTAACACATCATCTCTTGAATGAGTCATGTATCTGCCATGTATCTCCTTCCCATGCCTCACTGTTTACTTGGAGAAAGAGGTAAATACAGGTCCATGGGGATTTCAGGATGTAGGTTGCTAAGGCCAGAAATTAAGAAACACTGTGGGAAGTCATAGCCCTTTGTGGTTTATCTAGGGACCTTCAGAGAGGTTGGAAGACTGAAAAAAAAAGTTTCATGGAGACGAGAAAGATTATAGCAACCAGCAAGAACAGAGGTGGGGGAAGGAGTTATTCTGAGGCAAGTGGAACAGAAAGTCATGACCATTTGAGAAGACAAAAGGAAACAAGTGTGGTCATAGAAATGCCATGTAGATGGAATGCACTTTATTTGTGGCAGGTGAAGGTGATGTCAAATGGGGCTCTGCATCCCTAAGAGAAAGTCAATAACCCAGGCCAACAGAACTCTGATTCCCTGAGTGTCCAAAATAAAGGAGGGGCTTTCAGTGGATCTGTCTCTCTCACGTATTTTTTTAATGCCAGTGAAAATAGTGTCTCATCATTTCAAAGATGTTAGCTTTGGAATGAGATGCTACAGGTTTCTAAATTATGACTTGGGATTTTCAGCCATGTCTTAATAGCATGCCAGCATACAGCTCTGTGTCTTTTCTGTGCTTATAACAATAAAAATCTAACAAGATCGAGTGAAGTTTTCTTTATATAAATTGTCTGTGCTCTTGGAATAGGCTACTGCTGTTGTTTCAGGGTTCTCCACGTCCACCAGAATTTAATTCCGTCTTCTCCAGTGAATGGTCACATCTATTCTCCAGGTATGGGGGCGAGGGTGAGGGGTGTCAGAAATTCACAGCTGAGCTCAGTTGGCTGACAGAGCTGATGTCTTTCCTCACACCATCCACACTCCCACTCAGCATGTAGAGTCCAGAAGTTTTAAGAGGCTTTAAACAGGGGACCTGGAAGTAATGCTTTCAGGACCTGACTGTCTGGGAAACAAATAAACAAATGTCTGTTCTGACATTTGGATGTGGCTTGGTTGGAATTTTCATGGACAGCCCAAAACAGAGCCCCATGGGTTCTGTTAGCAACAGATATTTCTGCAACACGGTCCTTTATTTCTTGTATTAGTTTTCTACTGCTTTGTAACATACTACTGCAAACTTAGAAGCTGAAAACCACACCTATTTGTTATCACGCAGTTTCTGGGCATGGCTTAACCTGGTCCTCTGCTCAGGGTCTCATCAGGCTGAACTCAAGTTGTTGGCCAGGGCTGCGGTCTCATCTGAAAGCTGGGGTCCTCCTCCGAGCTCAGTGATTGCTTGGCAGAATTTTATTCTTTGTAGTTAATAGGACTGAGGTCCTTAGCTCCTGGAGGCATCCTACCATCCCCTGCCATGTGGTCTTCTCCCAATAAGGCAGTTTGCTTCTTCAAAGTCAACAGAAGAGCTTCTATGCTGCTTTGAATCTCTGTGACTTCGTCAGTCTCTGATCTCCCGACCCTCTTTTAAAAGGCTCACCTGATTAGGTCTGGCCCACCCACGATAATCTCCCTTGAGATTAACTCAAAGCCAGGTGATTAGGGACCTTAATTACATCCGCAGAGTTCCTTCACCTTTGCCCTGTGATGTAATCTACTCATGGGAGTGACATCTCATCAGAGTCACAGGTCTGGCTCCCAGTGCAGGGGAGAAGATGTACAAGCTATTTCTTCAGATTGTTTAAAAAAACAAAGTTAAGGATTTCCCTGGTGGCACAGCAGTTAAGAATCCGCCTGCCAATGCAGGCGACATGGATTCGAGCACCGGTCCGGGAAGATCCCACATGCCACGGA